TACTGTGTAAATTTTCTAGAAGAAAAAATAGTCTAATTCATTTTAAAAATATTGAAACTGTTTCTTTTTGTATCTTTATGCCTGTGTTGCCTTGCACCGTATCTAACCAACGCCTAGTGCACAATAGTAACGTTACCTAGCTGATAAGTAACAGCATAATTAAGTTACGTAATAAAATTACAACTGAGTTGATACTCTGGTCGCTAGGCATGTCGGTACTCCATTTACACACTTGGCAGACGGTCTGACACTCTGGCACTGAAAGCGTAAACTAACTATAAATACAAAAAAGATGTACCTGGCGCTAAGAGGGCACTAATCTAGTACCGCTATATTTTTTCTTATATGGCTACGATACTTGAACTACCGAATTGTCGTTCTTTGACCTTTACATCATATATTACCAACAATATTGTCAGTTTATTTTAAAATATTTTGTTGGCATTGCACCTACAGACTAACGGATATAAGTAGCACAAATACCTACCAATGTTTGCACGATTGTGCAGAACATTTTATCACAAGATAAATTGATTTCGTTATCAGATATGGTGAAGGAGAAAAAATGAACGGAAATCTCTATTCCTAAGGTTGGGCAATTTTATTATCGGCGAATTTTGTTTATTATTTAAATCGGTAGGAAAGTTTGTACACCCCAAATGCAATCTTAATCCATGTTTGTAAACTTCCGCACATACATTTACCCTTATTTGTACTGACGTATGCTTACGTACGTTCTCTTCAAATATTGAATGTAGCGAGTGGTTGTGGGGTTCCATTTTTATTAAACCCCCAGGGTGAATGGTGAGTGATCTGTCACCTTCAGTGATCGAACGTCTATTCAACGGAAATGAAAACCGGCATCCAATCTCTTCCATAGATTACATCGTTGTCGTAAAAATGTTATTACATGTCATGTCACTGAAATGCCCGGTCTATTTTCCATTGAGCACAGGCTGAAACGTTAACTATTTTTAACAGACTGTTTTAGTAGAGTAGGTGGGTTGACATTGACTAGGCTTTTCTTCGCCAGTTTATTCATTTCAGCATTATTAGATAATAGCTGTTTTACGTAGATCCGCAAAATATTTTAATAGTATAAACAGGTCCCTATAAATAACATAGAGTTTCGTCATAATGTCATGACCGAGAAAAACCTCGTGCTGGTGCTGCCTTCGTCACGAGCCACTGTGCAATGGTCGCGTTCGCGCCACGAATCTCTTATTGCTGATTGGCTGTTGTAGTGGCGTGATATACGAAGCCGGTGAGTTCGGCGTGCGTGGCGGGCGTGCTCGCGCGCTAGTGCTGCCACCACGAGACTTGTGGGTACCCGCGGATGACGTAGCGTATCCGTATGATCGCGCGACGCGCCACGCCATCCGACGACGCCCACAAATCGTGAAGGTCACCGCACTAATCTTGATGATGAAGGCATTTCTAAACAATAATAACGATTAGATAAAATAAAAAAATCTCCGTTGCTCTTCTAAGTTTCGCCAATTTTTCGGTAGAATTCTATGCAAAACAAAAGGCCAAGCCAACCTACCAGTTGAAGTGCTAAAAATAAGTATTTCTCAATTTCTTTCACACATACAAATATTAACCGAAGTCCACAAATATTGTTTTAACATAAGTACATTTAAATAGGCAACATTATGAAATTTTTATGTTATTTCTCTGTAGAAAAAAATTGTTAATGCGTACCTAGATTTTACATATTTGCCTACGACGTCTAGACTTAAGCTGATGTCTCCATGCACATATCTAACGCCAATGAATATCTATCTAAAGCAAATAACTACTGTAATACCTGTTATGTAAATATACTTACTTCATTACATAATGTTTCATCAATAACTTGGTGTTATTCTTTAGATAACCCGCACTTCAGTCACTAAAGTAAATAGTTAAAAACTCAAGTTGCAATATGACAGGTAGATCCAAAAAGACTGGTGGTCAACGTTAGGATTAAAATTACAAGATTTGAAATTCGAAGAACCGCAATGGTTTTCTTATTTTGTTTCGGTGATGGATAACTTCGTGAATTACAACGATGTACTGCCAGTACCCATGTCATAGTCATTTTTTATTACTTTTTTAATAATGAAAAATAAGACATTAGTATTATGAACAGCATTGGTTGGTTTAAAAGTCACAAGGGCAATATCATTTTAAATGAGGAACAAACAATAAATTAATCAAAATCAATTCTCAGTGCATCGAGCCGTGTGCATATGCATTTATTCATGAAATCATTACTCCACTTACGATGAATATGTGAGCAGATGTACTCAGCTACCTAATAAACGAACATAACGGTAATCACACATAATGTTTGAATTCGCCACATGTGCTAATCACGTCTATTTTTAGAGATCCATAGAGCTAAGAAATTATTTTTCTGTGTAACTAATTTTCTGACTGGTTTTCTAACTCGTAAAAATCTTTCATTTCCAGAAAATCGATAAATGATTTAAGCATTTTTAACAACGGCTTTATAATTAGAACCGTTATGTGTTTTCCTCGTAATATTTATGAGGATATTAATTACTCAATGATTTTCTATAAATAAATTGAAAATTCCCCAATGAGAATTACCTGAGCACATTTACATAGTACCGTTGCATAAAACGTAATTTAGCAGTTTCCTTAATAATAAAATAATAACAAGCAAGTACCTATCAGATTAATGAGTCTTTGACTCTTGGCCCATGTAATTTGTGCGACCGTGAACTGACCGTGAATTTACGTCATAATGCCTACATATACAGGTAACGACATCACGCCACTCCAGCCATTATAATTTTACATCAGACCACCAACCAATTATTGTGTTTTTGAGACTTTTTTCCTAAAAGGAAAATCATCTCATTACTTTTTGTGTACGTTATACATGAGTTATTATTTTATTATTTACTATTTTACTAAACACTTACATCATAAAATTAAATATAATTATTAAAATCAGTCGCCAGAAAATTTATGAGGAAGTTTGAAAATGTATGAGTTTCTTTATAGTTAGTAATCTGAAAAACTGAAAACGTTTTGTTATAATTTGATACGTCAAGTGTGTTACTGACGTATACTCTTTATTCACCTTGATATCGTTCACCGTACCCTGTTACAGACGTTACATTCACTCCACGCGACGCTAAAAGGAAAAAATAACTCTCAGAAAATAAATAAAAACGTACAAACGTGGACCGAATAAAAGGTGGGGGTTACAACAAATAAACGGCCAAATAATAGGGACACAGGACACTGCAATAAAAGAAATGATTTATTGAGGTGTCAAAATGATACGGGTTTTATTTTATAACAGGGAGTGTCTACTGCACGAAAGTATTCTTTTATAACTACGGTTTCTTCTAGTTGTATCATTGAAATTGTTTATTATGTTGTTGCAACATAAATTGAATATATCAACGTAATACGTACGTATTAGGTATTATGTATATATATAACGAAAAAAAAAAATAAATAAGTAAAAAAAAAAAATTCAAATAAATGTTTAAATTTAAATTAAAATTTAAATTAAAATTAAAAAAAAAATTTAAATATATGAACCTACATAGAATATATAAGTACATTTTTCATAAATAATACTAATAGCATTACAAAATAAATTGAACAAAATAACTACTTATAACTAGTAATAAAAAATCTGCGATACATAATCTAAATAAAATTAGCGTCCTACTCTCTTCTACGTTGCCGTGCCCTACAGGGTCCATACTGTACTATATTATTATGTAACACCTTATAAACATATGGAGTGCAATAAACGTATTGAGTATTGAGTATGTCTGAAAAAAAAACATACACTATAAATAACAATAGTTAATAAGAAAAGTGTTCCTACTTATATCAAGCACCAGAAAAATAGAAAAATAAAATTACATGATGTAGATAAGTACATAAATGGACAGTCAATAGGTCCGTTTTTTCTAATCATTCCAATTGAAAACAATTTGGTAAATACAAAAACAATTCACATATTTCCTTCACGTCAGACATCGTGACTTGAAGTATTTTATGGTAATTGAGTCGACTTGGGTGCTTCATGTTAATTTAATCGATTACCCCAACGTGTCTTGTGTAGACGCAGTCTTATGGCGAAGCGGTTTTTACCCGACAATTTACGTTTCATATCAGTTAAACCAGAGATCCGTCATGTTAGTCTGTTTGTTTAGTTTTATCGGGCACTGCCAAGCTTATTTTGCGTGCAAACCACACCTTTGAGTTCTATATCAACATTGCCCACGGTCTAGAAATATATTTATTTATTTATCTGTTGAATTTGTCACGTACACACACGGTTATCTTTGGGCAGAACTAAGCTTTACCACGTCCACATTTTTCTTGTTCTTGCATCGTTGTCCGGCGAATGCGAGGCCACTCATCTCTACAAGGTCGCGCAAATTTTGGCTTACAAGTTTTATGCAAGCTTTTTAATTTCATTTCTTAGCAGAGAAATAGCTTGTAGTTTAGCGGGTACGAAATACCGAATAGCGCATGAAATCAGCGTTTGCGATTACTCATCCCATTAATATGCCTAGTTTATTTACATCATTGTAATGGCGTAGGAAATACCTTCCGTCTATGATTCAATCACAAAGTCGTATATACCGTGGATCCATATTATTGTTTGGGTAACATCAAACACCATGTGTAACGTAATGAATAAGTAGCACCTAGTCTACAAAGCTTTTTATAATTACTATACACAATACAATGTATATTGTTTTTAATTAAATATGTCAATATTAACTGACCTTTGATTGAATAAACAATAATATTTTAATTATTATTGGTTAATAAGCTGTAATCGTGTGATCTATCGTACGCACAACGTTATGACCCAAGTGTCGGGTGTGCGTGTGCGTCGAATCACGCCACTCGACTCAGACGCACCATTGACCAAAACATGCTGATTAATTAGAGATAAACTGTAAATAAATATAATCAGTATGACTAATGTTTTCATAATCTATTTTTAGGTGTTCTGGTTGACGTCAAAAAAGAGTTCGAAATCGGAGATGACAAAGCTGGGTTTCTACAGACAGTGTTCGTGGTGGCGTACATGATCTTCGCACCAATTTTCGGGTACCTTGGAGACAGGTACTCGAGGCGTGTCATCATGTCATTTGGAGTGGGACTATGGAGCATGACCACATTATTAGGATCTTTCGCACACGTAAGTTGTTGTCTAATTGTACCTACTTTACCCATGATTATATTATGGTTACGTATCAGCATGACCAATCATTTAGCAGATGATTTAGAACAGTCGAATGATTTCGTCATCAATTTTTTATCATAGCTATGGAAATACCTATTGTAATACTAAAGACATCATTTTCTATTTATAGGACTTCGCACTTTTTACATTTTTCCGTGGTTTGGTGGGCATCGGGGAGGCTTCATACTCAACGATTGCACCCACCATCATCAGTGACCTATTCGTCGGCAATATACGATCTAAGATGTTGGCGTTCTTCTACTTCGCTATACCCGTTGGAAGGTAATATTAATGATATATTATTACAGACGGAAATTGTACAGATTGGTCTATAATAAAACTTATATCTGTATGTAATTTCACTAGTGGGTGAGATGGAAGATCCCGTATAGTGCGTTGGTGTGACATCAAATACAGTTTTGGAACTGCGTCACTTTGATGCGGTTACTGTGCTTACTCATCACTACTTAATTTACTCTTTGGTAGCCAAAACTCGAGATACTTTCATCCTCCGTGAACTTTCAAAATTGCGCTGTATTTATGTGCTTACATAAAAGTAAATCTTACGTTTGTAGGGCATGGGAAAACACGTGTTTGCAATGTGTTTACTTACATATTTATATAAACGCTATTGACTTAGGCGGTGCTGAGTTAATAGGTTCCCTTTTACATAGTCCCATACGACGCACGCAGTAATGTATGGTCGACAAAATAACCTATCTGTCACAGTTTCACAAGGAAAGTTGGGAGCATTGACGTAATCTTACATTTGGTCATCGTACACCGAACAAGCGCGGCTCCGGCACGGCTCCAGCCTAGCGATGTCATTGTTATTTAAACATGAACTTTAAATCTTATGTCGTATGACATATTTCATAACGGCATATTAAAAAAGCTCGCACGCCAGAAGCGCTCCTGCAGCGTGCTTACAACCTTTTTGTCTTGTTTTTTCAAAGCAATAACCGTCGTCCCGGAGCCGTGCTTGAGCTGTGACGGAGCTGTGCCTTAAATCATGTCCCTCTTCGCTAGTTAGGACTAATAGGGCATGAGTCTAATCTAAAAAAAATATTTAACTAACCTTTCGTTCATTACATGCAAAGTAGTATTTTAACACCAAGTGATGAAAAGTAGCGCATAGTATAAACGCACTGAAACTCGAGGGGCTCTTGTAAAAAAGGTCAAATTGTAATTTTATTGATTGTTTAGTTTGCACTAGTAGACGCATAAATTAATCGAATGGTAATCAAGTTTTAGGACATACATGTGATACATGTTTCACAATACATGAAATTAAAAACTTGCTTTTGTACCCTGCGATTGCAGTAGTTAGCAGAATTGATTAATTTGATTTCTATTAGTACTAGACACAAGCAAATCGATCCAAAAATTTAGACTCTATTATCACTTAGAATAAGGTTGAAAATCTACTACAGAAAAGGAAGATTGACCTACCAGACTTTATGCTAGGTACTTAGCTGCTATTGTCAGGGTCAAAGCGGACATGGTTTTATAACTTTTAGTTTCGATAATATCTGTGTTTTGGCAACGGAACGGCTCCAGGCGTCGCGTTTTGGCGACTGACTGTCTGCCTTCGATCGCTGACTCAGAATATGTAGGTACTCCCTACTTAGGTTCTCGCCTCACTTAGGACTTGTTTGTTTACTTGGACTCAAGTTCGATGTGTCATTGAGAAATACATATGACCTAGTTATAGATGTAGCAATAGCAATTCATAAATGTTATCTTTGATATCTACTTACTAAATAATTATGTGTTCGTGTTAGACCTAAATCTATAGAACGGGTTTTTCACGAACGGATGGAGTATGTTGATGAAGTTCAAAGTAACGTTTAGCTGCTGATTGAAAGCTACTAAAGCTAATTAATAAACTACCATACTTACCGTACAGGACATGACTGTACCCAGTTGTAGTCTCTTTTCTTTGTGCCTTTAGGCTTCACTCTGTCTCCTGCAGTAATTCACCGAGGGAAATGGAAACTATCGTTTGTCCCTGGGCCGTGCCGGACTTCAGTGTTTTCATGGTTGTATCTACTGTAGACCCTGGCTTACAGGAGTTGCAGCAGTTTTGGGAGGTTGTGGAGGGCTTGTCCCAAAAAAAACTACCATACTTATCCAATTCCATGATGCTAAGTTACACCAGCGTGCACCACTCTAGTTTTTTTTAATGGATCGAACCATAGTTAAGTCTGTTGTTAATGTTTCTGTGAATCGAACACATTATAGAAAGACCAAAGTGTTTATAGAGACATGCGGCGTCTTAAGCGTTTGGTGAACAGCAGTGGTAGCCAAATGCCATTTAGCGCTTGTCTACATGTAGAGTAGAAAACTAAATTATATGGAATTGACGTAAAATTTGACACTTGTCAGTGTCATCCCCATACATTTTGATATCTACTCTCTCTGTAGACAAGCGCTAAAGTGGCGTTTGGCTAGAGGCCCAGGAGACCCATCCATGCCTTTAGCCAAGCGCTGATGACACTGACAAGTGTCAAAATTTACGTCAATTCCATATAATTTAGTTTTCTATTGTACAAGTAGACAAGCGCTACATGGCATTTGGCTACAGCTGCTGTATAGAAACTTCTTTGCTTTTATATAAACACAACCCAATTTTGTATACAATAATAATTAACCTTGTTTTTTCATCTTTCCAGTGGTCTCGGCTACATCGTGGGATCATTAGCGGGGGCTGCGGCCGGCAACTGGCGATGGGGTCTACGTATCACACCCATTCTTGGAGCTGCCGCCTTAGTACTTATTTACTTCTTTATGCAAGACCCTCCTCGAGGACATGCTGAGGACAGCCAAATGAAACCCACCTCGTATAGCCAGGATGTTCGAGCTCTTATTAGAAAGTAAGTTACCTGATGGGGTTTTGTTTAAAACTTTTTACGATTCACTCGCAAATTTGAATAAGTAAAGTATTTTGATGATTATATGAAAGTTATTGTGATTGAGAAACAGTTAAAAACCATCTAGCAATTTGTTAAGAATGAAGAATTATTTTAAAACAGTATTTATTGTACATACCATTGTTTCCAGTTTTCCTCCAAATAGGTAAATTATGAAGCGTCTATAACTTGATTTGCTATGTTCCAGCCCATCTTTCATGCTGTCGACGCTCGCGTTTACATGCGTAGCGTTCGTGACAGGCGCGCTCGCGTGGTGGGGACCTCAGTTCATATTCCTTGGACTTAGCATGCAACCTGATGTAGATGTTAGCATTGGCAGGTGAGTCTAGAACCGACTACAAGCTCCGTAGATTAGACACTTAGACAGTCTAGGGATTACTATGAACATTTTAAAAAGGGCTACTAACATAATACACATACCGGGTGGCTGCGTGGAATCGATTTCCATGACAAAGTTTCAAGTTGTGCTAATGTGCTGTAAGAATGTTTAGGACCTGTACTGTTGATGTAGAATCGTCAGTTTTAGCTAATTGAGTAATGAGTACCTATCACAGTCATGTTGGTATTGAGTAAATGTTCAGTTGTAATGAGTAACAGTAACAACGCTAGACATCGTCAGCTAAGGGGTTGGCTGTGCATAGGTGTAGGTGAAGAGTGTTGAGGTAATAACGTGTGAGGGTTGTGCGTGGCGCAGCGTGTCGTACAAGTTCGGGCTGGTGTGCATGGTGGCGGGGTCGCTGGGCGTGCCGCTGGGGTCGTGGCTGGCGCAGCGGCTCCGCGCGCACGTCCCGGACTGCGACCCGCTCATCTGCGGGTTCGGCCTGCTCGCCTCCGCCCCCGTCATCTTCTTCGCGCTCATCACCGTGGGCTACCACGTCGGTCTCAGCTACTTGCTCATATTCGTCGGGATGACCACTCTCAACCTAACCTGGGCTATCGTCGCCGATATTATTCTGGTGAGCGTTTTCTGACTTTTTTGGGCCCCAGCAAAGTGTCACACCGTCATACAATCTGTTTATGTTGTTTTGGAGAGTAATATACAAGATGACACAGAGTACACGTTGCCGGGGCCCGGCTTGCATGCTCGACAGCGCATGCGGGCTATTTAAAGCAGAAATCGATCACCGGCTCGAATTGATTCTGGAGAAAATATTCCAATGAGATGACGCGTTTCGCAACACTCCATTGTATTTGTAACGTAATTGCGCTGTGTGGGAATTTATGATGTGGTACAATCATCTCATCTTAACGCTAATCGTAGAGAATGCCGCTTCGATAATACATATAATTATTGCACTGAAGCTTCAGTCATGTCAGTTACACATTAATATTTTCAGAACATGATACATTACAACTCATTTTACTTTAAAAGTTAAATGCATGTCAACTAGTATATTCCAGTATTGTATCAAGTAAAGAAAAACGCTATTTATATTTATATCTAAGCAATACATTTATTTGGCATGAATGAAAAAAATTGCGATATTCGCAATAGTGAAAAAACATGAATGATCTTCGGTTTTGCTTACGTGCATATTTCTACAATGATAACTAGTTTAGTGGCACACGTGGGAGTTGTTGAGATGGCAACAAAACTAGTCGGACATTAAAAAATATGCTCATGAGTCAACCGTGAAAGTGACCAGTATGCAAAGAGGAGAGATATAGTATAGAGGAGGTCTATGAGGCCGTATAGTGCATGTGCTGATTGGTCCGATACTTTGCACGAAGGGTGTCGCTAACGTTCGGCGTGATCACGATGGTGTCGGGGCTGCTGGGCGTGCCGCTGGGCGCGTGGCTGGGGTCGGCGCTGCGCAAGCGCTGGCCGCGCGCGCACCCCATCATCTGCGGCCTGGGCCTGCTCATCTCCGCGCCCGCCATGACCTTAGCCATAGTTCTCACCGAGGGCTACTACATAGCGCCGTTCGCCCTTATGTTTTTCGGAGAAATCGCTTTGAATCTCAACTGGGCAATAATAGCCGATATGTTGCTGGTAAGAGACTCCAACCGCAAGGACGCCTTTGAACTGCTATCGGTTTTGGTTATTGTACCGATTTTTATACAAAACCGATCGCATTCAGAGGCAGCCTAATGAGGGTGGCATTTTTTATTTTATTTGTTTTTCTGGTACCTAGATCTTTTCTAAAATTGACGTGGTTTTTTTTGGAATTTTATTGGTTGAAAGTATTTAGTTGCATGCAAAATTTAGCATGGTTTGTTTAGGCATCATTATAAATGTATTTATTGCTTTGTATATGGTGCTTGGATTAGTATGAATCAGTCACTCATTAGCACATATTGACGGCTCACCATTGCCAAGTTGTGATAAACTTTCACCGAAGTTATCTCATTGGAATATTTTTAGAACATTCAATTCAAGCCGGGTGGACCGATTTCAATGTGTGTGTGTGTATGTAACAGCGCCATCTGTTGGTATAAACTTGCATTACGTACTCCCTGTAAAATTCTTCCTTTGTTCGCACGCAAGTAGTAATTATAAAACGCTACAGATGGCGCTTATCTTAATAAATAGTATAAATATTGTCCAATTTTGCAGTGAAATTCCACGTATCTAATTAATATACAAAGAGTAGTTGTAGTCTGTACAGTAATGAATTTTAACAAGATTGACAAGAAAAACTTGTTCTATGACCATTCGAGCTAAAACATTAAAATTAATAGTGCATGAAATGAAATCTGTGTTTGTAAATTGGTGATTGTGACGTAGTGTTGTGTTGTCATTTACAAAAGGTGTCTAAATAAACTGAAACTAACGTGTATATTGAACGTGTTACAGTATGTGGTGATACCGCCAAGACGGTCTACAGCGGAAGCTTTCCAAATCCTGATTTCGCACATGTTTGGCGATGCTGGAAGTCCTTATTTAGTCGGTGTGGTAAGTGTTGTTGTTGAAATATATCCCTACTAGCGACCCGCCCCGGCTTCGCACGGGTGCAATATGCTTGTATTAGACATATAAACCATCCTTAAGAATCACTTTATCTATTAAAAAATCAAAATCCGTTGCGTAGTTTTATAGATCTAAGCATACATACATAGGGACAGACAGACGGCGGATAGGGACTTTGTTTTATACTATATAGTGATAACACCTTTTATCCCTTTACATAGATAACCTAGAGTCTTAGGTACAGGACAATATAATATTGTATCGCTAAGAATTTGTAGTACCAAATTATTCGATTACAATTCTTTATCAAACGAATAAAAAAACTATTTCTTATCATAATACAAGTGAGATAGAGTTTATACCCAAATCCTTAGATAATTTTTCTTGTGACATTTTATTTAATAATTTTGCATTTCGTTACAGATATCGGAGAGTTTAAAAATATCGTTGTCACCTGTACATGATGAGGCGCCGACACCGTTAGTGGAGTTCAAGGCGCTGCAATATGCGCTGTTCGTGACGTGTTTTGTTGAAGTCATAGGAGGCATATTCTTCTTATTAACCGCGATATACATCGTTAGAGACAAATTAAGAGTCGAGAGAGCTATTGCCGGTGAGTTATCTAATTTACACTTAATTTTTCTTAGAAACTCTAAAAAGAAGTGATTGAAAACAAGACTTTTGTTGAACATTAGTGTTAGCTTCGCTTTAGCTTTTTATTGTCTTTGAAAGAAATTGTTCACATTGTTTCAGTTGCTTCAAAAATAGTGTAGAGTAGCGTGGTAGGTGAGTCCCTCAGCTCAGTTCAACCGAGCTTGCTTTGCCGAGCACTTTGCATCTGCCTCTCCGTGGCTTTGGTGATTGTCGGGACGCACTACGGCACTACCACTCAATATCATAACTATTAGATATCAGATGATAATAATTTTGTTTTGATTCTTACAGAAGCAGAAGCGCAGTCTGCTGAGCCTTCGCATATATCAGCTCAAGAGGGCGTAGGAGGGGGTGAATAAGAAAAGAGTACGCGTACGTTGGATAAAATTACCTTCGTGACTAAAAAGTGAGAGCAGAGTGAAGGACACTTTGGGACACAGTACTATGTCCCAGTGAAATAACTATACTTAAATCCCTCTTTGTAATTCAACGCCTTTTCATGTTTGAACGTCTGACGTCATCAGCTACTTAATGTTATTGTTCAAACGCTAATCGTTCATCAACAATATAATCTATCGACGATCACTTCGCGAGTCACTTCTGGACGAGATACTTAACGGGGAGAATTATAGTAATTTTATTGCATATTATTTTATAAGACTGAGTCGTAAGGCATATTGCTTAAAGTGGGTTGGTTATGTCATAATGGAAAAACGACTGTGTGATTGTAAGTAGTTAGAAACTAGGCATCACAGTAGCAACTGTTACATATTTTAATTAAAAGCCGTTAAAACTAATAAATTATTGCAAGCTGTTTTCGTTCTTAAATTTAATGTATAGAATTGATCAATTGAAGTTCATATTTAATATAAATTAATTCATTTGTAATGCATATTCTGTGTCGATTTGTAATTACCTCAATTGTTATGTTAGCACATATTTATTTATGTTAAAATAAAATAGCACTTAGTGATTTATCGAAACGAAATAATGTCCGTATCGAGCAGTGTTCTAGTGTGAACATATTCATGCAGTTTAACATTATTTGTCATTTAGAGTTCCTAATGTATGTTGTACGTACAATGCAACATTAGACGTTGTATCGTGACTAACCGAACTTTTAGATTAGATTGCTTTATGGATACGACAGATTGTTCCCAATATATTTAGTATGTTTTATAGTTTGTTCGGAAGTACGCGTCTGTATGCAGTTGGGTGTTCTGTGGAGTATCTTTGATGAAGACTTAGTTACGACTACATCTATCGTGTATAAATTAAGTAATGCAAAAACTAGTTATTGGATATTTAAGGTCACATTAGTGTTTACTGCATCAAAGATGCTCGCACTACAAAGAGCTTTCACTATAACTGATACAGGCCAGATAGTGTTTATGTTTTTTTTATTAGGAATTGAACGAATCATGTGTGTAATTTGTATTAAGTTATTAATTATATTTACTATTGTTCCAAGCATTTCTTTGTAGAGAGACAAAGTTAAACTGTATTGAATATCATAGAAGACTGAATAAATTTAATTTTTGTCTAAATTTTTTCAAATATAAATAAATAAATAATAATTGCATTAATTGTGTTTGTACATACTAGTGTACATAGCATCTCATGGAATTTAAATAAAAAGAATATAATTTATTTTTGATAACATTCGTTTTATTGAATATAAAACCAATTACCAAGAAACAATCAACAAGATCTTTTACAAACTAACATGATGTAAAACTAACCGGTGGTATCCGAGGCGGATTCGAGTTCTTAACAAAATAATTGATGATTCACATAAAACTTATACTTCTATTAGGAATCAACTGGTGCTTAATAATTAGTTCTTCATACGTTCTATGTTGCCACTTAACAGATCTAACAAATACTTTGTTCAAATACAACTGTGTTGGTAACTTAATAGTTCACTTCAAACCTTGTTCTTATTTAAGTACTTAGGCTTAATATGGCACCTTTAAAACAATATGCATCCACATTTAACTGGTACAAAAATATTTAAATTAGCACATTTCTTGTTTAACATATTATGGACACTTCCACATACAAATTTAAAATCAAGCAATATCTTAACAAACATGTCACATTGGACGAATTAAAATTGAGAAACATTAAAAAATATCACATGTCCTTACTGAACAAAATTATAAGTAACCATTAATTATTAAAATAACAATTATTCAAAATAAAATGGTATTTAAAACCAAAAATACCCGTCATTTATTTGTTGTACTTCCAAAATGCACGGTGGAATGTACAGTCAGACATTTTGTTTCATAATTATTGTATAAAAAATGACAATAGAATTATTAGAACCAGTAATATATAAAATTGTCGAGAGATTTTAATCAAAACTTACTCATCGGAGCAGCAGCTAGTTGTAGAAGTTGTGTCATCATGTTTTTTAGACATACCAATCCTTAGTTTCTTAGGGATGGGTTCACAGGAGCTGAAACTGTCGCTAAGAGGTCGTTTGGCAGTTGCTACCAGCCTTATCACAGTGACAGGGCCTGAATTGCCATTTTCATCATCTTCACATGAAGATGAAACAGACAACTCTGTGCCTGATGATGCTTGTTTGTGAGATAGTAATTTTTCAACTCTGATGATTACATCATTGTCCTGTAAATAAAAACAATTACATTACCACTGCCTCCAGAGATTTTTTGTATCAGACAACTGCAATTTGTAAAGTTCTTACCTGCATCCAGCTATGATTCAGGATTTGGTTAAGTGTGATTCGTCTGTCAACTTGTACTGTCAGCATTCTCTTCATTAGCAGTTTGCCCTGCAAACTTATGTTGCGCCAGTGTGCCTGAGAGAATCTGTATCTTCCTGTCAGAATTTGATCTTTAAGGGACATGTCATTGTAATCTCCTGAGAATGGAAGGTAACCGACGAGGCTGTAAAGTAAGGAGTTAATTAAATATTAAGTACAATATATAATAAACTTAATCGACAATGAAAATAAAGTTTATTTTTCTTACCATACGAAGAAAATTACTCCCAAGCTCCAGACATCAACTTCTGGTCCATAGCTCCTCTGTCCATTGGCTCTCAGCACCTCAGGAGCTAAGTATAGTGGTGTTCCACACATAGTCTTCATGAAACTGTCTTCTCCAACAAACTTACTCAGTCCAAAGTCAGTTATTTTGACTAGAGTGTCATCCCCCTGGCTCTCAAGTAGTACATTTTCAGGCTGGAATGAAAACATGCAATTAGTTTTACATCTTTTAAACATTATATCTACAAAAGAGGCTACAAACAAACACTTTTACAAGTTCATTTTAAAACCAGATGATTCTAGCATTTAATAGAGTAAAATACTATTTTCTAAGAATTCAAAACACAAACCTTCAGATCTCTGTGTGTAATACCCTGAGAGTGGAGGTATTTCACAGCCAGCACCATCTGTCTGAACAGGAACCTTGTAAACTGTTCAGACAAGTGTCCTTGTTTAGTAATTCTGTCAAATAGTTCCCCGCCTTGCATCAGTTCGAGGACAATGTAGACTGCGTCACGCGAGTCAAATACTTCCTCAGTTGAGATTATACATGGCTAGAATAGAAATAAATAAAGTTTAAAAACAGACAACTACAAAGTAGGCTTAATTAGCTTATTGCATCAGGTCATACTTTATTATAGTTCCAGGTTTATAAGCCACATAATACAGAATTTATGCACAATAAAACAATGATTGTGTAGTTATTTATTGTCATTAGGGCTTACAGTGCATACTTACATGCTGTACAGCTTTCATGATGGCAATCTCATTCATGATCTTTTCTGGATCATTCAAATGATTGATTTGTCCATTTGTCAGTCTGCTCTTCTTAATTATTTTCATAGCATATTTGGTACATTTGACCTAAAATTATATATTTATTAGCATCCCTCTATGTATCTTGTTTGTAAAGAGGTAAATATTTGACAATGATAATGTTTGCGTGCACATACTGGGGCAGAATGTTGTGCTATTTTTGTGCAAACAACAAGTTTGGTACCATAATTTCATGCATCATCATCATCATCAACAGCCGGAAGACGTCCACTGCTGGACAAAGGCCTCCCCCTTAGCCCTCCACGTCGAACGACAACTCGCCACCCGCATCCACTGGCTCCCCGCAACTCTGGCGATGTCGTCGGTCCACCTAGCGGGAGGTCTGCCCACGCTTCGTCTTCCGGTCCGTGGTCTCCACTCAAGGACTTTCCTGGCCCATCTGCCGTCAGTCCTTCGAGCGACGTGGCCTGCCCATTGCCACTTCAGTCTGCAGATTTTGCGAGCTATGTCGGTAACTCTTGTTCTTTGGCGAATCTCCATATTTCGGACTTTGTCGCGCAAAGAAACCCCGAGCATAGCTCTCTCCATCGCACGCTGAGCGACTTTGAGCTTCTCCAGAAGGCCAGAGGTCAGGGACCACGTCTCGGTACCATACGTCATCACCGGCAACACACACTGGTTGAACATCCTGGTCTTTAGGCACTGAGGGATTTTCGATGAGAAGATTTCGCGTAACTTCCCGAACGCTGCCCATCCAAGTTGGATTCTTCGGGCGACCTCTTTGTCGAAATTGGACCTACCTAGCTGTATAATCTGCCCTAAGTATGTGTAGTGGTCTACAACTTCGAGGATATCGTTCCCAACGATGACCGGTACAGGTGCAACATGGACGTTTGACATGATTTTGGTCTTGTCCATGTTCATTTTAAGACCCACCTGTTGGGAGACGATATCGAGGTCGCTGAGCATGGTGTTTAAATCCTCCAGCGACTCCGCCATGATGACTACATCATCGGCGAAGCGGAGGTGTGTGATGTATTCGCCATTGATATTGATGCCCAGTCCACTCCAGTTTAAAAGCTTGAAAACGTCCTCCAATGCGTTGGTGAACAGTTTCGGAGAAATCACGTCTCCCTGTCTCACGCCTTTCTGCAATTGGATTGGTTCCGTGCTATCTTCCTGGAGTCGGATGCGCATGGTGGCGTTTCTATACAAACACTTTAGCACCTCGATATATCTGTAGTCGATATGGCATCGCTGGAGAGACTGCAGCACCGCCCAGGTCTCGATCGAATCAAAGGCTTTTTCATAGTCCACAAACGCCAAGCATAGTGGCAAGTTATACTCCTCAGTCTTCTGTATAACTTGCCGCAGCGTATGAATGTGGTCTATGGTGCTAAAGCCTTTCCGGAACCCGGCTTGTTCGGGAGGCTGGAAGTCATCAAACCTGCGTTCCAGACGGTTCGTGATAACCCTAGAAAACAGCTTATATACATGGCTCAGAAGCGAGATGGGTCTATAGTTCTTCAACAAAGAGTTGTCACCCTTCTTGAAGAACAGAACCACTACACTCCTTTGCCATGCTTTCGGCGTAGTTCCTTCGAGAATGACGGAATTGAATAGTTTCTGGAGGACTAAAAGTATCGGTTTTCCACCCGCTCGCAGAAGTTCTGTTGTGATTCCGTCATCACCCGGTGCCTTGTTATTTTTGAGCTGTCTGAGAGCCATCCTAATCTCATACAGGCTGATGTCTGGGATATCCTCGGTATAGTGCCGTGTCAGTTTAGCTCTAGGATCCCGAGCTGTACCGACAATGGGTTGCCGTGTCGAGGTGTATAACTGTCCGTAGAACCTTTCAAGCTCTCTCAGAATCTCTGGCTTCGACGAAACGATGCTGCCATTTTCGGTCTTCAGTTTCGTCATTTGGCTTTGCCCAACAGACGAATTCCTTGCGAATACTTTTGCGCCCTGATTTCGCTCTATGGCATCCCTGACTCGTGCGGCGTTATATGCACGCAGGTCGCGTCGCATAGACTTTGAAATTCGCCTATTAAGTTTGCCATATCCAGACATGTCAACTGAAGACTGCAGCCTCATCTCGTGTCGGTCTTTCAATAATTTAAGTGTTTCTTTCGAGAGCTTTTGAGGTCTATTTCGGCGTGGGTTTTTGAAAAACTCTGAGCCCACCGTTTGGACAGTTTCCACTAACCCATTATTTAACTCGTCAATCGTTTCACACTCAGCCAGGCACTGGAAGCGATTATGCAGTTGGAGCTGGAACTGTTCGGGGTTCTGGACCTGGGCGCGACCAGGACGGAGTGTGGACCTCACCAGGCGTGACCTCTCCAGCTTGACATTGATATTCAGTGTGCCTCTGACAATACGGTGATCGCTGCCGGTTTTCACCTTAGCTATCACAGAGACATCACTGAATATGCGCTTGTCGGTCGCCATGATGAAGTCGATCTCATTTTTGGTGTAACCATCGGGACTTATCCACGTCCACCTCTTAGCTGGTCGCTTTCGGAAGAAGGAGTTCATTAAAAAGAGTCTCTCCCTCTCCATAAAGTCGACCAGCCGCTGGCCCCGACGGTTTCGCTGCCCATATCCAAATGGCCCCATTCTCAGCTCTTCGCCGTTCCGTGTGCCCACCTTCGCGTTGAAATCCCCCATGACAACGGTGAAGTGTGCTTCGGAGGTGTGTATGGCTTGGGAAATTTCCTCATACAGAGCCTCTACTTCATCATCGCAGTGTGTCGAGGTCGGCGCATATACCTGTATGACCTTCAGCGAATACCGGTGTGATATTCTGAGTATAAGGTACGCTACCCTGCTCGACACACTGTCAACTTTACTCACGTTGTTGACGAGGGACTTGCGGACGAGAAATCCGACACCACCCTGGGATTTTTGATCTCCTTCCCGGAAGAAGAGCAAGTTGCCGGAATCCAGGACCATCGTATCCTGGCCCTCTCTTCGGATTTCAGACAGTCCCAAGATGTCCCACCGCATTTTGCTCAATTCTTCCTCCAGCTCGACAATCTTCTCATCGGTCCGCAGGGTGCGGATGTTATGTGTTGCCAGGGCCAAAGTTCGTCGGGGGTGGTAGCGGTTCATCTGCCGGGGATTCTTAGCACCCCCTGCTCCGCCGTTACCCGATCCGCTACCAAGATCAGGAATAGCGGAGCTGCCGGGGACTGGGGGCCGTGTATTTAGGTTGTCGTTCATAGTGAGGGGGGGGGGGGGTTTGCCATAATCCCCACGCTTGGCAGGCGGCTTGGGGATCGCAGTTAGGTCACCGATATATTTATGGAATGCTGCAGCCCATTCCTCGGTGTCTGGTCGCAGTTTTAGGACGTACCCGGGTCCGTTATAATTTCATGCAAAATAAACAAAATAAAATAATAATGAGCATTACTTTGTCATAAATGAGTTTGACTAGGCCACAGGCACCCTGGCCCAATGTCCTCGAGATATAGTACTTCTTTGATATCTCTTTAGGAACTTGATCCTGTTCATTTTTCAACAAATCTTTGAAAATAAAAACTGAAAAACAAAACAAAAAAAGAAACAAAACATTACAACATGTTATGGTGTACACAACAAATAAAAAGGAATATTAAAAAAATAACTAACTTTTAACAAACACATGAGTGATTGCTATTTCGTCATTATCATCTAGTACACGGCAATTTCCTTTGCCAACGAGTTCACCATTGACAAATGTTCCATTGTAAGATAAATCAGTTATTATAGCAGGACACAGGGGTTCACTGAAAAAAAAAATGTTATGTTCAAGAGAAATTCTTTAAATAGAGATATGTGATTGTTGGACTAGGTCCAGACTAGTCCTAGGGCGTCTCAACACTTGGACCAACGCTTTGGGCTAATGTGAAGTGGACTACTTGCCGCTACGTCATCGGCCAATGGAATGTTGTCAGATTTTGGTGCGCATCTTGGCACACTCCACAAATGGCGTTCACACATTGGAGTCGCATTCAGTTTGTTGTCATTCGTCAATAAAAACGGCAACGACGCGCTATCGCGCATTGCGTTGTTTTTGAATTACAATGGTGTGGAAGAACACTGAGATTTTACATTTTATTGAAAGGGCATTTACAATTCACTATATTGACCCATCGCGTTAGCCCAATGTGTAAACAGGCACATTTACAATTTACTACATTAGCCCAGCATGTTGGCCAAATGTGTTGGCCCAATGTCTCGAGCCACCTTTAGGTCAAATAATCTCCATGATGCACACTACTAAAAGAGTAAATACAGATTGATGCTATGACATTGTGCTTGATAGTGTGCTCCAAGTATGTGCTTATGGCCTTCAATAATTACAAACATTACTACATTACATGGTTTTAGCCGTTGCTGCTTGGGTACTATTGGTCATTGCATGGTATTTTATAGCCTATATCTTCTTCAATAAATATTTTTTCATTTCAAACCAGCAATTCCTGAGATTAGTGTGTTCAAACAAACAAACTCTTTAGCTTTATATAATAAGTATAAGTATACCAGTAATCACTTACGACATATCTCTAGTTATTCTAAACTGTTGTTTGCTGATATTTTTGATAATGGATTCCTTGATCACATCCCTTTTTACTGGATAGCTGCATGTTAGGGCTCTGCCCACAGTAAACTCTGGTTGAATAAGATCTGTGGAATGATAGACATGATAAATTGTTACATATAGTAGACAAGCTCTGATGACTGAAAAGAATTAAGGACCCTATTTACTATGTCTGATTAAGGTGATGTTGGCTTATCCAAGAGATATTTTTGCTACCACATTCAGTATGGAATATATATCAGGAAGGTAAAGCAAACAGAAACTTAATCATACATTGTGAAACAGGAACTAACTAGGAGAAATAACCATTCAAACACTTTGTTAAGAAAGATAGTCAAAGTTTGTATTTTTCTTCAGAGGGTAGATAAGTGCAATCTTGCGAATTATTTCTGTCTATTTTCAGATATTACTACTAGTATTTCCAGTTTATTAAAACAAGTTTAACATGCATCTAATAGACTGAATATTAATTTTATCGAATTAAATGGAATAAATAATATGAAGTTTCTGTGATGAGAAGTCTTTGGAGATTTTTACTTACCAAAATATTCAGGGCGTCGCGAATTTGACCAGCAGTGCCTCCCAGTCGTGGTAATTTTTGTAGAATATAATCTTCCCCAGATAGTAGGGATATAAGACGGAGTATTGTGCTGACTCCAGTCAATTTGGGAATTCTGGGTTTGCGTCTGAGTAGCACTGTCTGGAAGTTGATCGTCTGCCATTTTTACATATTTTTAAAAGTTTGCGTCTAAGTTTTAATTTCAGCGCCCAAACAAAGTAAAGTTTTCAAGTCAAACAGACAGTTTTACAGAAAATATTCACACAACTTCTTTCACTGACGGCTCGCTAGTAGTTTTTTTGTAAATCAAAATCATAGACAAAGCGATACAAGACTATTTTTTTGGCGCAAATTTTGGCATTTGATGTTCGAAATTAACACAGATTAAAAACGTATTAGTTACTACAACTTTTTCAAGGAAAAATGAGACTGAGCGAATGAGTAGCGAATTTAAATATGTTGAGTCCTTGTGACCGTAAAATTATTGTTGCTTTTTTCAATCTGTATTGCAACAAAAAGAAGACAGACATGATTAAATAGTGAGAGTGAATCGGTTAAATGTCTACAGCAGAAAGATGATGATTTATTTCTAGTACCTATATACCTAAAGTATTAAATAGGATAGGTATTAGGGTGCGTCCACATCTGGCGAATGAGCAACTCGCGAGCCGTTATTTTTGTTCATGCGCCGCACGCGCGCCACTCGATCAGTGCGTGAGGACCCTTAATATAATAGGTATAATACTGCCAAACTGTAAGTAACGCTTTTTTTGATTAAGCTCATTGTTGGAATAAATCAATTTTCATGCTAGGCTTGCTTTCAGGTATTATGTATTATGAAACATTGAAGTGATCATGCCTATCGGATTTCGATTCCTTAGCGATGGAATTATTTTAACGATTTATTATAAGGATCTGCAAGCCAATTATAGAACCAATGTAGGTAACAATCCAATACTTATATAACTACAATGCACGTGGTTAAAGTATTTTATTAAATCAAAAATTTTCAAACGTGAAATTTGAACACGTGACTCTGTGACAGTCCGATCATTAAAAGTTTTTACAGCAAGCCAAAGTTTTATTCAAAATCCACGAATAATAGGAATTATTCTAACTCTGCTACGGTAAAATTATTTTCTGACGTACCTATGTAAGTACAGGTAGGTACCAATCATACGTTTTGGTTTAAAATCATAGAATTATTTGAAACATTTTCTAAAGTCAGTGTTTTACGAGACTCACAAAACCTAGGTACCCATTGTCTTTTCTTTAGGTACCAAAGATGTAACTTAACTGGTCACCGGGGCTCCGGCTCGAAGCAGCAGTAGGAACGGAGTGATTTTTAGTCAGTAAGAGTTAAATAAAAATATCAACCTATCTGGTATTATACTATGTATTTTGAACGTACGGTTACCCTATACATATGTACGTTGTATATATTTACACAAGCGACCAGCCCCGGTTTCGCACGGGTGCAATCTGCATGGATTATACATATAAACCTGCCTTAAGAATCACTCTATCTATTATAAAAAAAATCGCATCAAAATCCGTTGCGTAGTTTTAAAGATCTAAGAATATATAGGGACAGACAGACGGCGGAGAGCGACTTTGTTTTATACTATGTAGTGATAAAATGTTGATGGCCTGCATAATTACTACTACTTTAAAAGTTATATCAATTACTACCCAAACGATGTGAATAGCCTGAATTTAACAAACTTACACTTTTGACTAACCCACTTAGTGTTAACATCACCTAAAATATGTTTACAAATTGGTTGCCTCCCAAAGGGACTGGACTTTAAAATTTAATACTTCCAAGAATGTCAAATCATTTTATGGTAATGGTTTTATGATTAGACTGTAAAATTATTTCATTACAAAGTTATAGTGTTTAATGAAGCTTGTTTTCTTGTTAGTGTAGGGCGATTGTTTGGACATTTTCTTTACAAATAAATTTGCGAAGTATTTGATGAATATAGCTACTGAAAAATTACAAGTCACTTTTGCTTTTTAAACATTTTGGTGGAGGTATTGTAATGCTACAAAGTGACGCGAAGTTGCTTAGGCGCTGAGACTACGAAGCTACGTAGCGCGTAGGCGATGCTACGAGATTTTCATCACGTTTCTACACGACAATTATCTAAACTATCCATGTTCAAACCAAACCCATGTACCTAAATTGGAATTTGAATTGCTATTACATGAAACATCTATATATATAAAAGAAAGTCGTGTTAGTTACACTATTTATAACTCAAGAATGGCTGAATCGATTTGGATGAAAATTGGTGGGGAGGTAGCTTAGAACCAGGAGACGGACATAGGATACTTTTTACTTTTTTACTTTTTACCGAAAATCAAGAACGGGAACGGGAAATATCGGTATTCCGCGTACGAAGTCGCGGGCAGAAGCTAGTTTCTATATAAAACTAATCAGAAATTACTTCATTTCAATCCCATAGAAAAGATAGATTATTTTTATAAGATGAATAGATTTTTACGAAGTAAATGATCTTGAAATCTCGTTTTCCTTACCTATTCAGTACTTGAGAAATCGAGCTGGATTATTCTGGTAAAATAACACATGATTGCCATGTCGCGACCCCGTATCGAACCCCCGCGGATAATTGAGCGCATTAGCTGATTTTCCGATTCATAAAGAATAAATAGCTCAATGGATAACCTGAGTCCATGGACGTCACAGCACAGATACAAGTAGCGCGTGTAAGTAATTTATGGAATTGAATATTTTTCTGTAATTGATATCTTGTATAGGAAAAATAATGGAGAATCTTTTCAAAAACACAATATGACGCCTGATGAACTAAAACCACCTTAGGAGGGTTAAGTAGGGCGATGGTTTTGTTAATAGATAGGTCGAGTTGAATGGTCGAAAATAGAAAAGAACGCCCAGAATAGTACCTACGATTCGATACTCGCACCTCGGGTAGGCCACAACTATGCGCTTCTCTCGTGGCTTTCTGCCTCGCATAGCAAAACTGTGGAAGGACGATACGAAGGACTGGTGTCGACGATATTCTCAAACCGATACAACCTTCAAATCTTCAAGTAAAGAGCGTATTCCTTTTTAAAAGACCAGTAACACACCTGTTACTTGTCTGGTGTTGTGGATGTCCATGGGCGGCGCTGATCGCTTACCATCAAGTAATAAATTTGCTAGTTTGCTTCTTAGTCATTAAAAAAATCGCGGAGAACCTAACGGGTTACCGGGGCTCCGGCTCGACGTGCAGGAGAGGGAACGGGGTGGTTTTTAGTTAGTAAGAGTCTGACACTCCCTCCCGCCTCACCCAGGCGGGAGCAGTCATTCGATGATTTCCCCCCTTAAAAAAAACTCCTTATAAAAAGATAGGTGAAGTACTATGGGTAGAGTAATATTTAAATTACTTTTTAATTTATTCAGCCAGTAATAATCAAAAGCCACTCATTTGCGCTTATTCATTATAGAACTGCTATCACTACAGGGTGCTACAAGAAAATAACGTTCTTTAAGGAATTTTAGTAACAAAACAGAAAATACTTTGGAACATCTTAATGAATTGAGCTGTTTCGTTGTTACAGTAAATTGCTGTTAAAACCCTTTTCACAATTTTAATGGCATCTTTTTGTCTATTGTGACAGATGGTTTTAAGTAATGTCCATTTTATTTCTTCTGTACGTAAATAGTACTTTTATAGAATCTAATTAAAAGAGCCTCGTTGGCCGATTGGTCACAAGTGCGACTGCCGGGCAAGGGGTTTCGGGTTCGATTCCCGGGTCGGGCGAAGTATTAATGGGTTTTTTAAGCCTATTGCCATATACCGGGCACAATTCCAGACTCCGTGCTACTACTGAGAATTTTTTTAAAACCCCAGTAGTACTTTGCCCGACCCAGGAATCGAACCCGAGACCTCTTGCCCGGCAGTCGCACTTGCGACCACTCGGCCAACGAGGCAGTCACTTCCAAGAGTCAATCGAATGATGAATAAATACCGATGTGTGAAGGAGTTCTGAGGGTAAAACAGTTTTGAGAAAGAATATCAGACTCAGACATAGATCTATCTGAATTAGTTAGTGTCTCTAGAGAACGTTGTTTCTACCGAAAATAAAAGAGTATTGTAGACTTTCTTAGCGTATTATTTCGTAGTTAAGTATATGTGTTGATGACCAAAACTCAAGACCAAAGTAACGAAACCATAAAATGCAAGTTCATTAATTTAGTTCAATTTTTATAATTAGATGGCGTTGCCGCGATTAAATGCAAGCTATGGTTTCGTTACATCGATTTGCTTAAGATGGTCATTTTTTGTATGTACAAGGAGATGTAAGTTCGCACCAAAACGAATATTATTATAAACCAGCAGTTCAAGCACTAATTACGGAGTTTCAATTTAACCCCTATTAGTAGCTACAGTAGGTCAACTATACTTCGGTAAAAAACAATATGCGGGTATTAACATTGAATTTATCAGTGTGGCCTAGTAGTCATGCACGTATCTTATAGGTCTGGCAAGTAGTTAAATATCCTACTAATATAATCTTGTATCTTATATTCTTATATAAAGCGGAAAAGTTTGTTTTTTTGTTTGTTTGTTTGTTTGTTTGAACGCGCTAATCTCCGTAACTACAAGTCTGATTTGAATAATTCTTTTTGTGTTGAATAGTGCATTTATCGAGGATGGCTATAGGCTATAAAACATCAAGGTACGACCAATAGGAGCTTAGCAGAGCGTGTGAAATCGCGCGGAAGTAGCTAGTATAATATTATAAATGCAAAATTTTTTGAGGTAGGGAGGAGGAGGGAATGTATGTGTGTTTGTCACTCTTTCACAACAAAATGACTGAAGGGATCGAGATGCAATTTGGAACAGGGGTAGAGTATGGTCTGGAATGTGTTATTCCAGGTTGTGTTATGTTATTTTATTGGGTACTCTTTATTCCACGAGGACGCGGGAACAGAGGCTAGTTTATAATAAACTAGTGATCCGCCACGGCTTAGCACGAGTGCAATATGCATGTGCTATACATACATACATAAACCTTCGTTAAGAATCACTCTATCTATTAAAAACTAGCTTCTGCCAGCGGCTTCGCCCGCGATCCCAGGGGTAAAATGCCTATGTATCACTTCAGACCATAATCTACCTCTGTTCCGAATTTCATTCCGGTCCCTTCAGTCGTTTTAATATGATTGAGTAACAAACATACACATAAACTCACATATTTTCATTTATAATATCGAGTCAATCTAATTTCAACCATTGGCCTTTCAGTTACAGCGTAAAGTCTATGAATGAGTATTGTAAACGTTAGAGTAGACAAATACAATCAGAAATCACCGAATTGCTAAGTTATCGGGAGATTCACGTGTTATTGTGAGTCAACCATAAAAGATAGACATATGCTGTCGAGGAATATTTTTTACATAATTTTAAGGAGAATATTTCCGTCATACATGATTTCTATGTAGCTTTAACCTATAAGCCTGCACACGCGACGGAAGCTTAAAAAATGGAGTAACTTCTCCCGTTTTCCCAATATTTCCCTTCACTGCTCTGCTTCTATTGATCGTAGCGTAATGAAAAGTATACTATAACCTGCCCAAGAGTATGGAGAATAATTGTGCCAAATTTCGTTAAAATCCGTCGAGTAGTTTTTGTTTCCATAACGAACATACAGACAGACAGACAGACAGACAAAAATTTTACTGATTGCATTTTTGGCATCAGTAGCGATCCCTAACCACCCCTTGATAGTTATTTTTTAAATATATTTTATGTACAGAATTGACCTCTCTACAGATTTATTATAAGTATAGATAACCGCATCAAAATCCGTTGCGTAGTTTTAAAGATCTAAGCATACATGAGGACAGACAGACGGCGGATAGCGACTTTGTGTTATACTATGTAGTGATGTACTTTTCAAGTTTATTTGTAACTGATTACTGACCTGAAGGAAAGGTGAAGGAAAAATGAATGTATGGTTTGATTCTGAGTCAAAAAATGAAAAAGGCATCGGTGGCCTTTTTCATATGAGAACAAGCCTTTGCCCAGCAGTAGAACCGAGTGCCAAGCACGTTCGGCGCTCTGATTGGCCGGCCCAAGTGAACCAACCAATCAGGACGCTTAACTCGCTCGGTACTGTTACGATACGAATGGGATAGTTATTCGTGCTTGGCATTCAGTTTATTCAGGACTTTTGAATCGAATCATGTTTGTCAGTCTTAGGTTCATTAGGTTCATCATGTGTTTATCCATGGAGAACATTTTTGTTTTACACATATATATATATAGATTTTATGGTCTTTCCCTTGCTCATTATCTTAATCAGTGCCTACTGGGCTAAATTACGACGTAGCCACGATGTGTAATGAAACTTATACTATTATATAAAGCTGAAGAGTTTGTTAGTTTGTTTGTTTTAACCCGATAATCTCAGTAACTACTGGTTCGATTTGAAAAATAATTCCTGTGTTGAATAGCCCATTCATCGATGTCGTAACTACTGGGGGTTTACTCTTGAATCCAATTCCGATCGATCGACATTGGTATTGTAAAATTTCGTTCTCTTGAGATGCAATACTAGCGCCCATTGCATCCGTATTGCGTGGTACATCCGTAATGTACTAACTGGTATTGAGTTTGTCTTTATATTCCGTACTTTTAATGCTATTTCAACAGCGTTTGGGGTTGTATAGATTTGACATTCAATAATTATTGTGATTTTATTGGGTTGAAATTGCATAGACATTGAGATTGTTTCAAGAGTAAGCACCCTGGTCTGATTTGAAATAATCTTATAGTCTTGGATAGCCCATTTATCGATGAAGGCTATAGTCTAGAAAACATTACGCTATGATTAATAGGTGATGAGCAAAACGGGTCAAATCGTGCGGAAGTAGCTAGTATTAAATAAAACATGTATTAGACAAACAAAAGTTTATTTCATCCATTATCTTTATTAATAATAACACTTATCTACAATAGATTTTATATATAATGTATAAGTAGTATACTTATTATAATGTAGACAATATAATGTTAATATATAGATAAAGGGTAAAGAGAAACAATATTTCAGACTAATGATAATATTTTAACTAAATCATAGCGTTTTCAGGAAGAGAATTTGAAATGAAAAATTTTAATTACCTTAGAATATATTTTCCACGACCTAGATAGACATTATACTTTATGACTAGACACGATCTACTAGATGGATGAAAGGGTAGTTAATTAATGTCATGGACACTGGCCAATGAACAGATAATCCATAAATACGATAATTAAGTGACATTTTCTTAGCAGTAGGTAACTAGCTTTGGCTTCAAAATAATCGATTTATGAGACTCGTTCGAAAACAAGCCTGACATTTGCGAGATAAATAAGTATCGATTACAATTATTAATACTTTAACTGACATTTAAATTGTTACAGAATGTATTTACATTGAATGTTAATCATCATTTTGGAAGATCAACGACCTCATTATGAAACAGGTCCTTATACCTTATACTATAAGGCTTATGTTTGGATGGTAAAAAATAATTTGACATATGCTTTGATCGTTTCACAATATGGCCGCTGCGCTTTTTTTTTTTCTATTTTTTTTAATGGAGAATATTGACGACGTTTTGTTCGTTCGTGCTACACTAGGTCAAAGGGTCGATGCGTCGTTGAGTTGGTGGTGTTCACTTGCGGAAGCAGGAGATTGGGTTGAAGTAGCACTGGCGGAATCGCACCTGCCGCTTGTCTGCCTTCCACTGCCGTGCCAGACGGCTGTCAAGCGCCCGAAGACCCCAGCCGCGGGGCTCAGCTTGTGGCCACGAGCGGGTCACCCTGCCCATCCTGGAATTAAAGTCTTATTTAATAAATGTGCAATTGTAGGTGAACTTATGTCCGTCGTTGTTGGATTATAGATTGTGTTACAAAACGAGTCAGTCAAAATCTATGGTATGATAACAGACAGTAGAAAATGAGGTCCAAGCCGAAGCGAGTCGAGAACAATCTAATCTTTAAATTTATTTATAAACTTATCACTACTAATTTTTACTTAGTATGAAACAACCGTTCAAAATATGAAATCAATGTGTCACGAATGAAACCATAAAAACAGAAACAACAAAGATTCCATTAAGAAAAATCTTTGTTTTTAAGAACAGTGACATCAAAGTCTTTAATCAAAAGGTAACTTATTGATTAACCTACAATTATAATCGTTTATTTGTTTATTATTTCGTACCAAAAGTCACACGCCAACAACGTGGTAACAACAATAAGTATGAAGGAAACAAAACGTACCTAAGTAGGTACACGATGTCAATCGGAATTAAAAAAGCAATTCCATTCACAGTTGCTTTGCAATTCACCGCTTGTTAAGTCAGCACCTGTTACTGTCTAGTCTATAGGTATTTTATTTTATAGTGAAGATCTGATTATATTTTGTACTTAGGTACATACTTAGTTTTTATTTGTTTGTAGTAATAATCACCGTTTGGTGGTGGCCCGCAGGTTAAGACGCCCACTTCTCATGCATGAGGGTGCAGGTTCGAAACCTACCAACGGCAAGTACCGAGTTTTCCGAGTTATATGTATTTTCTAAGATTATTTAGATTATTTACACCCCTGACAAACTGTAAAGGAAAACATCGTGAGGAAACCTAGACTTAAAACTTCTAATTATAGTTAAGTTTGGAATTGCCAACCCGCAATGAGCAAGCGTGGTGATGAATGCTCAAACCTTTTCCGTGCGAGAAAATGCTTTGCTCAGCAGTGGCCACTTATAGGCTGTTGATGAATAATCAGCTGTTACCAAAATTAATGAGTTTTTATAAACCACAAAACCATTTAGATACATTTGGTTGAAAAAAACGACTGATGAACTACCCCTAAACAATAAGGTAGATGCCTAATTTTTATTTTAATATCCGTCTGGTATATTATTTTAAATCATTAGACCCGTATTTTTTATTTTCTTACAGAAACGAATACTTTCGACGATATATTGATTTGAAATGTCGCCTGACGTCACTTCTATGTACTTTTATACGTAGAAATTACGTTTTAGGCCCTACCCCTTAACTTTGATTCGTTTTACTTAAGTATTATTTTATTATACGACAAAATAAAAAAATACGTGTCCTATATTTTTTCATTACCTAACTTACGGACTAAATAGATTTTTAATTTTCATACCCTGTCATCACCCCAATTCTCTGATGTTTGAGTAACAAGTAAATCGTAGATAGCTTAATATTTTTTTAACATTGTCTTACGTTTCACTCTATCAGTTTCGGCTTCTCAAGTATAAACATACCTATTTTAAAACTAAGAGAAGTATTTACAAAAGTATTGTGTACCATTACTTTACACTATCCATTAGAATAGTTAACAAAATTAAGTAAAAAAGCATGCGACGTCGCCGCGACCGCGCACGCTGCTCATGAGGAAGAACCCCTCTGTGGTTCGAAACTAGTAGAGCTTTTCTCAGTATATTCACGTGAGTAACTCGCGTTTTTACTTAATTTAGTATGTCTCACGAAAGTTATTATAGTTAACAAAATCTATATATTACTCTATTTTCATATAATTTGTTAGTAGGTACGATACTAAAGTTATGCAACGAGTACGCAGCAGAATCAATCAGGTTTAATTGGACGGGAAGTGCATAAGCCACTGCGAACAATAAATCCTTATAAGTGGCACTAACCACGATCGTACTAATTTATTTTCTACGTATTTACGAACATGTCGTATAAATAAATACGGTTTTCATTACCAAATACGTGTTGAATTCATGTAACATTTAGATGTTATGACTGCTTTGTGATACAAGATTGTGAAATGCAAAGCCTATTCTTAAATATAACATCATAACAAATTATATAAGTGACCACTGCTGACCAAACGCCTCTTCTTACATAAAGAAGGTTTGAGTATTAATCACCACGCTTGCTCAATGAGGATTGGCTATTTCAAACTCATAATTAGAAATTATAAGCCCAGGTCTCCTCACGATGTTTAACTTCACCGTTTTTCTGTGGCGTTTAAATAATCTTGAGAAACTACGTATAACTCGGCAAAAGTCAGTTTGGTACTTGCCGGTTTTAGATTTCGAACACGCACCCTCATGTATGAAAAGCGGGCGTCTTAAAACCTCCGGGCAACCACGACATTCTCAAATATACCTACCATATACCTACTCTTAAATTCTCACCACTGTTAGCGAGTTTCAGGTAAAATAAGGGATTGATTTAAAGAGTTTTAGATAAGATAGATACTCATAGAAAAGTCGGAAGAAAACTGTTGCTACAGTGATACACGGTTCAATGTTATGTAAGCTGTAGTCATTCTTATCCAGTTCATAAAACACGCATAAATAAAGTCTTGCTCAATATCTTTTTTCTATTCTTCAACAAAGAATAGGAAATAAGGCTAAACTGAACTGAAGGAATAAATACCCTATTCCATAAATAACAAGACACGTCTATAAAATAGTGTTTATCTAATTCTTTAGCTTTACGAACAACAAAAAGTTGAATGTTGTCCTATAGTAGTTTTGTCAAATTAATTCAATTTGCAAAACATTGTTTCTGTATTTAGGGTAGCAGATGTTTTGGGCCGAGGTCCGGTTGTTCACGAGTCGTCCTGTAGTTTGTAGACGACTACCTACTAGTTAATGGCGGCCGGGCCAAGCTAAACACAAAGTAACATAAGCTCTTGGACTAACCGGGTGGACGCTTCATTCTTTGTTCTACATTAGCAGTTGCCCAACTATTTGCTAAACATTTTCCAACATTACACAACTTTGCTGCTAAGTAATTTAAAATTCAAATACCAGTTTAATTAATTAAAACTATTGCCTAGCTTGTAATTTTATGGGATTATTGATATTGTTATTAACATAACTGAATATTATATCGTTACTTGTTACTTTTCCAGTGTTTATGCTAGTCTGCGTCAGGGTTTTAATAACATAAAGTTATTCAATTTAATCTCTGTATACATAAATTAATCCAAACATAAACTATAATACTGTAAAATCCGTACAAGCTCGTCTAGTTATTTTCACGTTCAACCCTTAGCAGCAACTTTCCTAGCCAACCAGCGAGATCAACACGCGGATTTTTATACAACACATTATTAGAAGATATGAATAATAAGAGTACAGTCACCTGTCCTCTGCGTCAAGTTGCAGCAGCAGTTTGCGTAGAGCGGCAGTGTTGATAGCATCCCAGGGGCCTGAGAGCTCCATGTCACCATCCGGATGCGCCACAAGGGTGTTCTCGGCGGTCTCGTCGTCCGCCTCCTGAACAAACACCACCCACTTGAGTCTATGTACCCATCCAACCTGCCTCTCACGAGTACATCGACCTATTAGCCTCACATTAGACGCCTATTAGAACCACCCCCGATGGTTCGTTAAATCCCACACACACAACACTCGTCAGCTGATTGCTCACTTCAAAAAGCTTCCGAAATCTAATTATTCTTCGTAACGACATGTTCTTTCTTTGACCACATTCATTTGTGTAATTAAATCAGCCTGTTTTCCCTCACGAGTCGCCGTCACTGGAATAATTTCCTATTTCCTGCTAGCATCCGCTACATAAAGTGTAAAATGAGCTCTTAGAAATTTCGTTTAGCAAATTGACCTAAAGAGCAGACTTTATAGGAGCTCTTAAGTTAATTTACTTTTAACGTAATATTAGACTTGTTGTGTGAGAAGTGACGGCTCCTTAACTCCTCTTAAATATTTTTACATTACCGTCTGCTTGAACACCTTCATACTTTGGTTTCATACTTTGTAGTACATTTCCTACACTTGATTTTTATGGATGTACATGTGCTCTATTTGTATTTAGATAAGCTACATAATCGCACTTGAAAACTTTATTGCTGACAAGTAATAATGATTAATAATGTATCGTTATATTATCAGTTTGGGCTAAAAGCTACTTTGTAAACCCTAATATTGGCTGTGAATTGACAGTATGAAAGAGTGCCAGATAACGCGCTAATGTAGGATACATTAACCAATTATTAGGCTTGTTAGACTGAGGTAAAATGTGTTTTATATGTTTCATAACCAGGTGTAGGTAAAAGAGTTTATAGATAGTACAGATACAAACCGTTCAACAAGCTATCCGAATTACATCTAATTACATTATCTGATTTTTTACTTTATTACAAAAAGAACTAACTGAAATATATTTAAAATAACTTAATTTTTATTACATATTATAGTAGTTTGTTTCATATAATATTATCATAATTATAAAATATTATTATCCAATCCAATCCACGCCTTTTTGGTTACGCGATACAGATGTGTTTTCCTTGTGTTAAATAAAAACAAAAAAAAACAAAACCAAATCAATAAAATTTAGCTTACCATTGGTGCAGCATTAATTGTGACGAATAGTAGAGCCAATATGGCCGCCACGACTCCCAGGTAGACGTTGTACGCGCTCGCTTTCATTGTGATTCTTCAAACTGCAAGCAAATAACTAATTAGATTATCAAATCAACAAACCGTAAATTGCTTTCAAACGTAACAGGAGTTCAATAACCTGTTAGTAGGTACCTATAAACTTTTTAAAGATATACTTGAGAGGTGAATTATTCTTAAACTGCTTACTAATCTAAGTAGAGGATAAAGTACTTATAACTTGTTGCGAGTTAAGTTCAGATTAATATGTATTGAGAAAATTACTTATAGATTTATACAGATTCGGTAGGGAAATAGCAAGATTCTTTAAAGATTAAAACCGATTGTTGTTATATGAAACGAAGTCGCTTGTGCCGCAACAAGTAATAACTCCCCTAAAACTTAAATACGTTAGTTTTTAGTACGATATTCTCAGATTCAATACGTAATGCAACTCCATTCCAATTACAAACTGGTTGAATAAAATATATCGAGGTAATTACCGAACAAATCAAAATTAGTTCCAAAATCAAACATTCGCATTCGACATAGAATTTGAATGTGGTCAATTAATCAAATATGTGAAAGGACCTATGTAAATAACACCTAACATGTTTGACGCGGTCCCTCCCACATCTAATTAGCCTTCTAATTTAAACACGGAAATAACCAAAGTCACGTTTCATTTAATTTGCCCAAAGTTATTTTAATGACCAAATATTACAAACATTGACGTTTTTTCTGACAGTCACGGTTTATGAGTACGTAAGTCAATTAGGTCGATGCCAATTATTTGAACTTTAACCTGCGAATTAATTAAAAGTTTAAATAATTTCGTATCGTATCGTAACGAGCTTTTATAAAAATTGGCGATATTTTTTCGTTTATTCGAAAAAATATTTTCGTATTTATGACGTCCATAAATTGACGGGGATTACGTGTAAGGGGGTAGAAATGAGTTTTCCTTGTTTTTGTGAAAGACCTTGTGACTTCGATGGTAGTAAAAGCAGTTACTTAAAGGCCTGACCCCATAAAGTTTAAGTAACGCGATGGTTTATGTCGGAGGCCTTTGATGCGAGTCTTGTAACAGATGATGGAAACAAACATGTGATTCTGAGCCCCTCAGGTAGCTTTATCAGTAATAAATACGCAATAGTTTTCCAATCATAAAAGGGATCTCTTTATCAAAGGACGATAATAATAAAATTTTGTCAAGTATGTATTATTGGACTAGCTTTGGTAATGCTTCTCCGTATCTCTATATACAGCATGTATTATTAATGTGGAATAACGTGTTACGAGGATTTCTGAGGATTTGTAGTTATGTTTCGATTTTGCCTTTTGATCTATTGTTTTAATCTACAAAACTATTTTCAGACATTGATGAGAGTATGTATTATTTTAGTAGCTTCTGATGTACAGATAAATATTAGTTCGTATAATATTTCATAGACACTAGGTATCCACAGGGAATGGTTGATTTAAATTCATCTAAAAGGTTTGTTACTTATTACATCCTACGCCTAGTATTAACAATTTGCCGATGATATTAATAAGATTATAATTTATTTTCTAACAACTTATGGCCTAAACCACTCTGACTAATTGCTATTAGACCAAGCTTCTATTATGGCTGTGAATATTAATATTTATTATCAATGATTACTAATTCACACGCGTACTCTGGTCTATCAACAGCAACAACAATAATGCCTGTGAAATGAATAGGGTAGATGACTAATTTTTATTTTAATGTCCGTCTGGTAGATTATTTAAAAACATTAGACACGTATTTTTTTGTTTTCTTACGGAAACGAATAGTTTCGAAAATATATTGATTTGAAATATCGCATGACTGATGTCACTTTTGAGTACGATTTATACTCTAAAATGACGTAGCTACCTCTCACTCTAAAACTTTGATTCGTTTTATCTAAGTATTGTTTTCTTATACGACAAAATAAAAAAGTACGTATATAATATTTTTTCATTACCTAACTGACGGACTAATTCGATTTCTAATTTTCATACCCTGTCATCATCGCTATTATGTATAAGAGGGTTCGCCATAATCTCCAAGCTTGGCAGGCAAGTTGGATCCCAGTTTAAATAGAGTTCAGACTTATCAGTGAGCGCTGTTGTCCATTATTTGGCAAATGTGTTCCTTAGTCGGCTTTTACAATACCCATAAGAAGATAATGGGATTATGACTAGACAGTACCTTAAAAGAAATCTTAAACAGAAATATTTTCAATCGACTAATAAACTCTTTTCGAATACAAACACACTTTCCGTAATAGCGTTGCTGTAAATACTTTGAACTGCTCAATACCTGAACTAAGAGAATCGGTAAGTGCAATCCTATCGAAAAGTTAACGGTATATTCATCCGAACAGTTCGCGAATTGGTATTTCAAGCGGATGATTAATATTTCTGTTCTGTATATTTTGAATCTGCGACTCTGCGATTAATTTTGAATACGTTTTCTTTAGTAAGCTTTTACGGAAATATAGAAGAAAACTTTTGATTATTTTAAACGATTCTGGTTTCACCAGTAGTCCAGTTATATGTTCCAGTAACTGTTTTTAATTATTATAAGCCATAGCTATTGTTAGCTACACACGATTTTTCTAAACACACTTACATAGGTACAACTAGAACCTACCTGCAAGTCATTCAAGAAAACCTTCATAAACATAACCCAAGCTCAGTATAACAAACAAGAGTCCCTTTCTCTTACAGACCTCCTTATAAAACCGACGCAATTACCTACGTACTTGTTTATATATCTCCATTCATTTTCACCCTGTTAAGGCTTCGTAGGTGACATGAAGAATTCGCATACCTTGTCCACGTAACAATCTCATTGACGTGTACGTAGGCTTGGGTCCCCGGTCATTCCGTCTGGGCGGGACAGCATTCTACATTGTTTTATTTGACTACCCAGATCTTCACCGGTGTCAACACGTCACACACACGACAGTACACCCATGCATGCTACATATTAATTTTACTTTTTTTATATACGTGTTGGTACGTAAATAGAATGGTTGGTGGGTCTGTGTGTTGAATTTTTGTTGTTAAGATAGAAAGTGAATCAGCTTAGTATTTTGAATTTTGGTCATAATATTTATGCTCTGGTTCAAAATGATTATTAACATTTCATCTCTGAAATGAAAGGTAAATGTTATGAAACAACACGGAGATACCTACGTAATATCTACATCCTTCAATAAATGTTCAGGAAAATTGACTTCTAGGTAACCTAATAGAAAAACCGACGCAAAGGCTTTGTAACTGCGGCCGCTAATAAATGAAACCTTCAGCTACTAAAAGATTTAGTTGTGTGCAAATAATATAAAAGGAGTCCATTATTCACGATTTTCATCATGTTATGAAAACTCAAAAATCCCGCCTACGATCAACTGGATTGATCTTTTTATGAAGATACATTGAATAAGTTCGGAGCTATTGTAAAGGTTAGAGCTATAACCTTTTTCATACGTCTTCATAACATCCCTGTGGGGTTCCTATCACAAAGCGCGCAAATTACGGTCACCCTAAGGATTTGGAATCGCCTTGACAAATAAATTGGATATCTGACACACTATTTATCGATACGTTGCACGTATTTTATAATCTATATCCCGAAGAAATATTGTACAGCTGGAAATCATGAAGCAGTGCACTGGAAATGTCGAATCTGTAGAAAAAATGGGGCCTATTGTTGTAATTTCCATGGGCGCAGTCGGTGTGCTGGAGACACAATAGGGTTGCCAGCAACGCACATCGAACGTTACAAAAATGGCGTCGAAATGTAGAACAAATGTATTTAGAGATAGAATTTCTAGATATTCCTTTTTAGTATTTTTTTATTCACTGTCACAACACACCACGAAAGCAAGATGCATAATTATTATGTTATTTGTTATTTTTCCAATGAAGAAACACAGTAATAGCAAAGCTAGTATTATTTTGTAAGTGAACTATTTACTTTGAATATTTTATGAACACACTGTGCCAGTTATTTCCCAAAGGGACAGGTAGAGTGAGTTATAAATCGCACTATTTGGCAAATTAATCCATTTGTAAGAGCATGCGAGATTATTTAGGTATTTTATGAAATTTTATTTGTAAGGATTATGTAGGTTATGCCAACACTTAAGATATTATATAAATTAGGGTCATTTTACATAGGTAGTTTACTTTTTTATTCGAAACTGTAAGAAGTCGAAGTCATAGAGAATTTCGAATAGGGTAGATGACTAATTTTTATTTTAATGCCCGTCTTATAGATTACTTAAAAACATTAGACACGTATTTTTTAATTTCTTACGGAAACGAATATTTTCGAAGATATATTGATTTGAAATATCGCATGACGTCACTTTTGAGTACGATTTACACTCCTAAATGACGTATCTACTCCTAAACTTTGATTCAAGTTTTTATCTAAGTATTGTTTTCTTATACGACAAAATAAAAAAATAAGTGTCTTATATTTTTTCATTACTTAACTGACGGACTAATTCGATTTTTTATTTTCATACCCTGCTGTCATGCTTATTATAAAATACTATATTTGATAAGAAAATCTCCACTTACACTACTTGGAAATCAATGATGATGAAATATTTTACTACATACATAATATATTCGACCAATGAATAACGAAGTTATACATAATAATGTAGTGTATTTTTTTTGGCTTCGACAGCCTAAATATTTATTGTTATATCTGGTATCTGCCGATTTTATTTCTATATGCAAATGAAATTGTATTGAAATATTGGCTGAAAAGAGTGGTTTATAAGGTTCCATAGATAAGAGAATCTAAAATGTGTACGGTACGTACATAACTTTCAACATATTGTGTGCCGTTGTAGACTGTATGACAAAGCATATTGATTTTAAGTAATTACTAATTTTTAAAAGTATTTATGAGTTGGTTTTTATCAGACAAAACATTTTCGATTAGCTTTAATTTATTTCCTTTAATCTGAATTAAAGTTTTTCGTCAACAATTTAATTTAACGTCCCACATACGAAAC